CAAATATCAATAAACAAATGTTATAGTTCCAACAAATCTGTTTTCAATCAAATAATATTTAAAACAAAAATATTGATGATATAAACAAATATGACATTGAAAAACATATCATTTATAAAAATTATCATGAAGCACTATTCACTAAACAGCTACTTATCTCAATCATACTACTTACTTTCGTTTATACAATTATGTAATGTGCTTACTCCTAAATCTCCTGGTGTCACAGAACCAAAAGAATTTTTCATAACAATTTATTCAATGAAATTTTAGTTGATTATTCTTCTTCAGCAAGTCTCAATAAATAAAAATGAGCTTATGTATATAAATATTTCACTCAATGCCAACGTTCAAGGGATTTTATTTAAATTTCTGTGGAGTTTCATACATGGATATTATATCAACCTTTCAAAAAAACGTTTTCTAATTCAGCTCAATAATACTGCACAATAAACCAACTCCTTTGTTACACCATTCCATAAATCAATTTGCAAATGTCCATTAATCTTAGTTTAATTAAATTCTTCCACAAGATTGCACAGCTATTCCAAGCACATCTTAGCTCAACTCACATAATAAATATCAGGCTATAAAAATCAACAACCATATTGCTCTTGAGCGTCCAAATAACTAGTTACAACATCTTCATTATCGCGTTCTACTCCTAGACAAGCAACTACAACACCCTAAATACAACATGAAGCTACACAAGTTAATTTCTCAACATTATTAACATAAGTAACTAGATTCCAAAGTTCTACTTTTGCAATCATCACAATATTAATATAAACATATCCAAATACTTCATCCCCTCATGTCTAAACCAAACAAAATCTCCAAGTCTCATTCTTCATTCACACAGTTCGTCAAACACCTTATAGGCATTCGACATAACTCAACAACCAAACCTCTTAATCCACAAGTTGGCAACAGTGAAGCATTGCTAATTGCTAATTAACACACACATATGTTTCGGCACCCTCATTCAAATAAACTCATCAAATCCATTAAACCAAAATTCATCAAAGCTCAACGCAATACCCCCCGGGCCAAACCGTACATCAGCGCCAACTGAATATATATATATATATATAATCTCAATACAATTCCACACACTCCCATTCATCAGAGTAGAAGATTAAATACAACAGAAGTAAATTATCTCCAATCCACTCCCCACAACAGCAGCAGCAAAAACAGGGGAGAGAAGAACAGGGAAAACTTCTCTCAAATACACTGCTACTCAAGATAAAAAAAAAAAAGGATTTGAGCTTACCTAAATCCCTAATAGTAGCAACTAAGATGGAAGAGGAAAACGGGAATGAAGCTCAATCCTTTCTAAGCTACCAAGGCACCGAAGAGCAAAGGAAAAATAGAATGACAAAGCTTTGAAGGAAGCAACGCAGAGTTCAGCATTACCGGCACACCCACAGCACACACGCCGTCGACGAACGCACGGATAGGGGAAGGCAGTGGAAGGAGCGATGGAATCACAAGATGGGGTTAGGGATTTGAGGTTTTCTTCACTTCCGGAGCTTTCTCCCCCTTTTTTTTTCACCCCCACGCGATGCCCTCATAGGCAGTGGCAGGAAAAATAAATAAATAAAATAAAATAAAATCTCATTTAAACTTAAATCTTCATTTTCATTTTTTTTAAGGGAAATGTTGTAATTTAATTTGGAAAACAATAATAAAATTCCCCTTTTTAGCAAACCCAAGATTTGAAGCAAATGCATACTCAACAACCTCCACTGCTACCTAGCCCCCGATTTTTTTCTTGATCACTGGACCACAATAAATGATAAAAGAATTAACTAACTTATAATTACATTATCAAGATTATTACAATTATTATTTTTCTTATCTCTGTTTTTTTTTATGTTTTTTTTTTCTTTCTTTGAAGATGGGCTTACTTTCAACTATACCCATTGTTATAAAATTTAAATCATACCTTTTTAAAAAAAATTACTTGATCAATTAATGAGTACTGAAGATCTTAAGAATTTTCAAATTTCTGGGTCATTACAATATTTTAGAGAAAGAACTCCTAATTTTTATTCATTTATTGTCTCTAACTAACTTTTTTATCCATGTAATAGAATCTAAGGTTGCTTATAAAAAAGGACGGAGGGAGTAACATAAAATTGTTATTGGTAATTATTATTTTGACAAAATCTAGATAAAATTCTTTATATATCTAACATTCTAACTACATATTTTTTGAATAAAAATTAAAAGATGCAGCTATCATGTTTTCATGCTTGGAACCAAATTCCAAATTATAGAAGTTTAGTTATTAATTTTAAATTATAGAAATAATTATAAAATTCAATTTTTTAGGAACTAATAATGTAATAAATTGAAATTATTTCAAAACTATTATACCCGATTTTTCCTTACATATTTCCTAATTTAGTCACTAAAACAACTTATTTCATGTCAGCAACAACATAATGTACTATCTAAAGATGTTGCTTATTTAGGATTTGTGTGATTCTTATAAGCACTTTCATGTAAACTAAAATAATTTCTTCCACGTAATTTACCTCATATTTTGTAAATCATAATTAAAAAAATAATTGAATAGCTGCTTATAAGTTACTATAATCAAGCTCTTACATGTTTATGTTCAGGATATGGAAAAACATTTTTACAGACTTTGATAGCCAGATTCCTGTCCAGAATACCATTTTGATGCTTTTGATGCTATCTATTTTAATTTTTTTCAAAAGAAATAGATGGTTCTAAGTTACCAAATGAAATATTAATTATATTTTTTTTCAAAATTATATTAATTGTAACTTTTGTAACTTATATTAAATTTAATTCATTGTGTATTAAATAAAGGTAAATTTGAAAGTTTATTTTATTTCCATATAAATTTAATGAGTTAATAATCTCATCTTGATTTTGATCAAATTAGATGTTTAGAAATATTTCATAATAAGAATAGCATTACATTTTAGAAAAAAGGGTAACCACCCAAAAAAGGAAAACTAGTTCCGCTAAAAAAATCTAAGAACCAAGTACAAGTAAAAATTACCCTACATTTAGTGTGCAAAGCATTAAATCCACATTAATTGCCCAACTTTTCATTAGAATAAAAAGAAGGGTTTAGGTACAAATATATACATAAAACATTTTCACATGCACATTTGATACACTCCTCTGGTCTTATTTATAGGGCAGAAAGAAAAGACATTTTTTAGTCATATTTATAGGGCACTGAGAGAAATTTTTTGTATGGATGTGTAATTTTATCCCTCATTTATTATTATGTTGACTTTGTTTACATAAGGTGTAATGTATATTAAATAAGGATAAAGTTGAAAAGTTATTAAATTTTAAATAAGAATTAATGAACTTTAAGGTTTTTTTTATTTGTATAAAACATGCTGAAAGTATCTTACAAATAGGACCAGAAAAGTATAATGTTTCCTTGAACGTAAAAATATACATGAAGACTCCAAAATGGAACAAATAAGTTACCACTTAAGTCTACCAATATAACCATTTAACAAACATTTCAATTAAAAAAATAATACAAAATTACACATGAAAGTTTTTAAATGGTGTAAATAAACATGTCGATTAAGTTATATATATTGTTTTTGCATAATCAAATCAATGGTTATATGAGTGGGGCAGCTACAAAAAATCTAATGTAATCGTATATTTCCTCAACAACATTTCATTTATAGCTGGCTGCTTGCCATGCCACAGCCATATAAAATTTGTCTAGTTCATAGTTCCATTAAAATCACTTGGAAAATAAATTCTCTTCCAATTCAAGAGACTTAATAAGTTTGTTACGAGATTAGCCCAAAAAAAAGCTTGTTATAAAAAGGTAAGGTGAGCGAGGGGTATTAAAGGTTAAACCTCACAAATTTAAGCACTCGAAAGCTGAACCATCGGAATTATGTGCCTCGCTTTATTATTTAATACCATTCTGATTTTAAATTTAAGTCATTCCTGTAAAAAAAAAAGTTTTAGTCCTTAATATAAGTTTCTTATAATATATTTTAATGTTTGTTAATTACTCTTATTTAATTTATTTACCAGACCCACGATTCCGGGGCGGGCAGGACCAGCATTGACGAAGACCGGCTTTTCTCACAGGTGGGGCTCGCACTTCGTTGCTGTTAATGTTATGCGTGAACCTTGCCAGCGCACGCTTTAACAGCTCTTTCTTAATTTTCCTATAACAAACATAAATAGATTTTAGAAACTTTACCATTTTCGTAAGTCCAATAATCAATAATCAAGCTCTCTTTTTCTCCCCCGTTTCCACTTTTTACGCTTTGGTGGGTTTGAGGTCCCATCGTCGACTTTTCAAACAGTTGAGCTACTGTGGCCATAGAATAAAGAGCTGGAGGACTGAACCCAAAAGCTGCTGCAGCTCTGAATCATTAGGGTTTTCCAAATATTTTCCTCCTGAACTGCAGACCATTCAAGTTAAACTACTATTTTTTCCCAAAAAAAGATGTTCACTTTTGATCAACTCTTTAGGCTTTAATTTCCGGCTTCTTCTGTCGATAGTCCGGCGAAATATTTATCCTCCGTAGGGGATTCTAAAGACTCCAAAGCTTTGTAAGTCTTCTTTATAATATTCCAGTTCTTTGCGGTCAGTTCTTTGTCCATCTCCGATCGAAAAGTCTGGGATGAGTACCATGTTTAATTTCTCCTAAAGAATCCGAGCCTTTTTTGTGGCTATTATATATAACCAATCCGGCTCCATCTGCTAGACTGGGAATGATCTTTTTTTTTTTTTTTTTCTGTGAGATCGGGTTCTGTGATTTCTCATTTGTGGGTTTGAGCAGAACAATAGGGGAACATATCGATTCCTGGAAATCTTCTAATCTTTCCCTTTCATTTTCTATATGATTATTGTTCCTTTTTACGCCAACAAAGAAACTGTTCTTGAATTAGATTCGCTTGGTGTTTGTCTATTCTAGGGTTTGAGATGGGAATCTAATCAATATTTGGTGTTTCATTAGGAGATGGGAAGAGGGAAGATTGAGATTAAAAGAATTGAAAACGCAAATAGCCGACAAGTGACATTTTCAAAGAGAAGAAGTGGGCTTCTGAAGAAGGCCTACGAGCTGTCGGTTCTGTGTGATGCCCAAGTAGCTGTGATTGTCTTTTCTCAACAAGGCAGGCTCTATGAGTTCTTCAGTTCTGAGTAAATTCTCTTTCCAATCTGCACTTTAATTTACTTTTCCTCATTAAATGCTTTGCTTGGATTTTGCCTTGCTTCCCACGTCAAGCATGCTTTCTTTCTTGTCTTGTTCTCTGCATGGTACCTTCGTATATATCTCTTGGCGAATTTGTGATATAAGGATTCATTGGTTTTTATTTTGGTTCTTAATATAAAACCTCGATTCATTTTATCTTTTATATTTAGCCATATAGTTCTTGTAATAATAATAGTTCTAGTCAATACATTTAATTAACAAAGATATTTAAAAAAAACAGTATCTATTTATTTTAAATAATTAACATAACTAGTTTTTTTAATCTACTTAAATTAACTAATTAGTATTTATATTAATAACTGGAGGTAATATTTCTAAAGATTTTGTCAATAACGAGTGAAGTCGTGTCATTCTTTTTTTTTTTTTAACTTTCTGAACATTCGTAATCATTTTGTACTTTCTAGAACTATGGGAAAATGGAGGACTTGCAATCTTGCATAGTTGAATTGTCCAAATTAAAATTGATTCTACAGTCATTTGGCGGCCACATCTTCCACCATAATGATGAGTAGGTTTTTGGGCACTTGGGCTATAAAAGCTTGCGTACAAGGACAATGATGAATAAAGTAACGTTCTAGTGAAAATTTGTTAGTTGTCATTAAAATGAATGTTCAAAAGTTTAACTATATGTGTGCTTTAAGCTGATTAGCCAAACCGACGAAAGAGTTGTAAAATTAAATTAGGGAAATAAAGCTCAACAAAAAAAATAAAATGAGACAAAATCTAGATTATATTTCTATGTATATATAATATAATGTGTGTTTGGGGGTGGGATTTAGTTTTTTTTATAAGTGGATGGAGAGAACTTTAAACACCAATCTCAATCCATTGATCAAAAAAGCCTGACACTATTTCGGCCTGGTATATTGAGAGTGCATGAATTGTAAGAAATAGTTTAGTGATAAGAAAATATTGTTCTCACGAAGATTTGTATTAAAAATTTAGCCAAGCAAAAGATTTTGTGTATGGAACTGCGAACAGACCCAACATATGATTGGCGTCTAAAATGTAAAATAAAGATGCTTAACATTGAAATTGATTAATAAGGACTCTATGGATGCATTAAGGCTTAGAATTATGTATCCCTTTGCACCTCAAGACCATACTCAATCAAACACCTGATTATATTTGCTTCTCAATGGATTATGCCATTCAAGGGTAGTCATTTACCTACAAATTCTCCCAAGTCTCCAAATAGGTGTTTAGTTCAACTAATCTCTTAATCTCCAAATAGGTGTTTAGTTTTGTAGGTAAAATAAGATAAATCTAGTTAATCTCATATTCCGTTATTTCAACTTGTAGCTTTTAGAATAGGACTATCTCTTTTTATAACCATCTCTCATCAACAATAATGACTAGGTTTAGTAAAATAATATTACTATTAATTATTGTTCACAAATTTGTTTTTTTAAGTGTTTGTCTTTTATAGTTAGAATTCCAATTCCAATTTTATATTTCAATTGTACCCATATTTAAATATAAACTTTAAGGTTTATTATTATTTTCTGATGCCGTCTAATAAAAATCAAGTATCCTTCCTACAAATGGCTTGTAAAAGTAACAGGAGGTAGCAAATTTTATAACCTAAGGGCATGATTAACCGACAAAACATTCAAGTCGTGACACACCTGATTGATTCATTACAAGCTCTTGCTCGCAGAATTTTCCTCTTTCCCTTAATTTCTCAGTTGACATACTCATTATAGTATATTCGAGTAATTCTATATGTATGCTCTAGATTTATAGTTCCAATGAATTTTTTTTTTAATTTAAGTTGCATCCAATTTTTTATTTATTTTAAATTAATTAGTTTGCATGAGTTGAAAAAAAAATTCTGATACGTCTAGATGACAACCAATTTGATCATGGTGTGCACGTATTCTTTTGAGATGTGTGTGTGTGTGTGTGTGTGTGTGTGTGTGTAATGTCCTTCTTAATTATATTCTAACTGTTAGTTAATGAAAAATCATACCGAGTTACGCCGATACCCCAAGAACTTATAATTACATGTTGAAACCTTTACAGATCTGTAATAGTCAAAACGCTTATATATAAGAGGATGTATGCTTTTAATTACGTTTATTTGTTAAGAAATACAATAAAAGGTTGCCAATTTTTTGTTGTATTGAAATTTTAAAAGAAATAACTATTTTGAGCTTTCACTTATAAATTGTTTCATATATGGTACGATAAATTAGTAAATTGCACGGCAGACGTAATGCTTCATATTTGGAAGTACTTAGATTTTTAATGACAATTGTGAACTCTCAAGTTCTAGTGTTCAGCATTCATCGTATTGGATGATCCATGTGGAGCGCATTAGAAAGTCTTATGTGTCTAATGAATATCTTTTCAATTCATCGGATTGTTGAGAATCTTTTGAGAATGCACATTATTCACTATCCCTGAGCCTGATACATGTGATGATAAGCAGCTAGTTGCTCATGACTTGGTAAACTAATGTTCAAATCATTATTAGTAGAACTGCTTATATTTAGTGCTATATTGTGTTTTGAATATGATTGTCTCTAATAAAAGGACACCTATATGCAAGTAAAAAAGGAAGAAATTTAATTGAAAGTCGATAAAGCCCATAAAATTTCAAAATTGCCCTTATTGAAGTTAATTAGTTAGAAGATGTTGTTTAGTTAGCTAACTAGGACCTTGTTTAGTTACTTAAGGAATTTCAAAGTAAAGTTTATTTAAGGAAAGGCTAGTTAAAACCTTTAAAATTTTAGAATTACATTCATTGAATTCCATTAATTAGAAGAGGTTAATTAATTAACTAGTCAAGAGTTTATTAATTAGTTAGTGAATATTAAAATAAAGGATATTGTTAGAAAAAGTTATATTTTTTTTTTTAAAACGAAATGCCTTGCATTAAAAACTATAGGAAAGGATCTTATTAAAAAACATAGGAGAGTACGTAATTATGCTAATAAATGTTTTGAATTTAATTTTTTTTGCCAGCAAATGTTTTAGAATATAAATAAATGATACGATGAACAAGAAAATTAAATTATTTTATTTTAATATGTTTATTTATTTATTTATTTCTCGTTATGTTTCACATGTATGTGTGTACGCTTGACGGCTTGAGTGTGTGCATATGATGTTTTTCCAATTTTATATGCTGTTCGTTATTGCTAGGACTTGGATGCTTTAATAATAGAATGATAAATTATTCTTTTTCTCCTTGGCATTGTATTGAAATAAGTCATAGAACCATTTTCAGTTTTGGCATAAAGAAAAGAACGATTTTAACTAATTCACCCTTTTTTGGGGGGGAAAAGTTAACGTTATCTTTAACCATCCCAAAAAAAAAAACTGGTTTCTAAGTACACACTGCATTAATGTCAAAAGTTTCTTTAAATTCTTCTAAACACCTCTATCTCATTCATTAAAGTTTGGATCCTCTGGTTAAGAGAATTGTGGCATCAATTTGAAAACTGAGACACAATAAACACTAATGTACCAGAAAAACAAGAAAAGGGGTAAATGGAAACCAAATTTGTTAACACTATATATGTTGCCCTACATTTTGGATCAAACTATTTATTTGTTTGGAATTTGTAAATTTAGGATTAGAGAGAGTATAAGTGGAACAATGTAATGTAGTTGAAGTCAAAATATGGATGAATATATATATAATTTGGAAGAATTTGGACAAATTAAAATATGTCTAAGCCCAAAACAACTCTACAATATTGTAAGAAAAGAGGCCAAAATGTCAACATGAGCCGAAAGCTTATCACAGGTTTACATTCAATGCTCACAACGATAAGCACTACATGCTTATCATTGTGATAACATTTGAACTGTTCAAATTAGATTTGAACAGTTCAAAATTTTTAAACTATATTTTTTATATAATAAATTTAGTTTTTTTTTAAAAAAAGTTACAGTTATGAAATTATTCTTATTTTAAATCATGTATGTATTAAAATAAAAAATTAAAAGGCAAATGATAAAATCAAATCAAGATCAATCTGGATTGTCTACATTGATGATGAACACTTCTTATTTATTTTCTTGATAAGCATGAAATGTCCACCCTTCGGGATAATTCCTTTAGGAGGAAATTTATCTCTTAACAACTTTTTCATCTGACAAGTATTCGTGTTACAACTAACCCTTATATTGTGCCGTGGTGAAATCTATATTAACAGACCGTGATCAATAATAATTTCCAATCCTAAACTCTATATCTTGACTCCAGACCTGCCAGATAATGGTCTAAGTTCCTACATGAAGCTGTAGAGATGAACACTAACCAATGATGCTAATTTTACTCAGAACTAGGGTCATTGAAGCCTTAATGGAATGACGGAACTGAAATGGCACATTTTTGGCTCACAATATGAAAACAAACTTCGAAACTTAAATGATTGGGATGAATTTTCCCCAAGACCAATTCAATCTTATTGCAATAGCCTAATATGCCACAAAAATGCATCAACTCAAATCCAGAAACTTATGGATCAAAATATCACCTTTTAGAACCCCGTTTTCAGAGGTCCTCTCCTCTATCACCATCAAACTGCAACCCCCGCAATCCTTCTGAACCATAAGAAGCTCAAGTGATAAAATTTCCCAATACACATGGTGAGCCTTTGGTTCAAGAAAAGTGATCAAACACTAAACACAGTAAACCATCAACAAGTGAATGATACAATTATTAATTTCATTTCATCAAATATTCAATTACATAAAAAGTCTTGTTCCAAGAACCAATCAGAAAACACCAACAGATGTAAACTATATTATACGCTACATGATAAATGCCAGAAGTAATGAGTTACCTATACATTTGCCAAATATATCATATGTATGCAAATCCTAAGTGATCAAATAAAAAGAAACTAATAAAGGAGTCTCATATTATATCGGTGGAATTAATATTCACTTCGCCAGTTCTTTGTCCTTGGACGTACTTGAATTTTCACCTGAAAAATGGGAAAAGAGAGAGGGATAAGATACACACACCTCATTAACATTGTTGATATACATTCATTTGTATATTTTCCTGTTCAAGATCTATATTTTCATATATGGATCCCATTGCTGAATTTTCATTAAAATTCACCGAGCCAGGAACCTTGATAGATGGTGTGGTTTTGATGATGCTGTGACAAGCATAGAGCCAAACACATTGTGAATATTTAATTATCTCAGTTTACCTGTTTGTGTTTCCACTTTTCTTCTCTGTTTTCTTTTTTCAGAGTGAATTCAAGTTAGTTTTTATATATATATATATATATATTATATATATATATATAGGAAATGCATTTTCTGTGCTTGAGGATGAAGAACAGTATTATTTTAGCTACGCAGTTGCAGATGGTTGTGCACACAGAGCTTATATATAAATTATGATTTGTTTCGATTGCTTCAACACCAGAAACATCATTGACCGATATGTTAAATCTGGCAAAAATGTTGATATCAACAAGTTGGAAGAGGAACAACTTATCCAGGTTAGACTTCCCTTCCTACGGTTGTAGAACTTCGAAATTATGAGAATTTTTATTTATTAACACACATATATGCTTTGTGCTGCGAATATTTCTTTCTTTCTTTCTTCCTTTTAAAAAACGGAAGGATAAGTAGAGTCATGTGTGTTGACCAAATTTTCTTTAGTTTTGTCACAGTAGAGTCTCTTATTAATTGTAAGACAGTTAACCCGTTTTTTGTTTTTTGTTTTGTTTTGTTTTTTTGCCATAACTCATCCACTCATTATACCCTTCAGATCACAAAACCTTAAAGAGGCACTTGGTGTTGTTTGATTTTATCCTTTAGTTTTGTGAATAAGTTTTCATCTATTGAGCCATGTAAAAGCTTGGTCAATGGTTGAAGAGCACGGGTACCACGTGTTCACTAAATTTCATCTTTTACATTTCATTCTTACCCAGCTTTTTCTCGCGTTCTTGTCAGTATTTTAAATATTTGTAACGCTAGTTTTGATTGATACATTATGTAATGTTTAAAGGATGTTATATATTGTAAAGTTCATTGTAATTATGCTATAATTCATTACATTTACACGTAGTTTGAACAAAATAACCTGTTAAATGGAATGCTATTTAGATATAACTCAAATTTAATTGATAACTGGTATTACATGCAGCAAATGAGGTCTAGCTGTGCAAGTATGGCGAGGAAAATTGAGCTCTTAGAACTTTCTCAAAGGTTGCCCCTTTGTTTTTATACCTTGCTTGTTTGTCTTGTGTCCTAGAATTGACTCTTTCTGATAGTATTTGTGTGGAAATTGAGATTACTATTACGTACAGTTTTTGATTTAGCTGATTTTTTTTTTTTTAAATGATCATATATATAGGAAACTGTTGGGACATAGCGTAAGTTGTTCTCATGAGGAACTTCAAGCAATTGAGTGCCAGCTTGAAAGAAGTTTGCTAAACATCAGAATAAGAAAGGTAAGTATAACCAAATTTCATGAGCTGTCATCATTGTTTTTTAAAGTGGATCCAAATTTCATCAGTGAACTATCTGATAAATTGGAATTTTGTGTGGTTCGGTATACTTCTAAATTGAATATATTTCCTCACATTCACATTATAGCTCTAACCTCAAAATCATGTAATAAAGAAGATCCGCATCAGTTAGACAATTAATCTAATTCGATAAACTCATTTAAACACAAATTAACTGGTGGAATATCTCTATAACTCAGAATTCCAATATACCCGAAGGGGTAGAAATTCAAGTGTGGATTACTTATTGTTCACCATTTAGATTTATCTGCAAGAGCACAGGTTGCAAGTAGTATAAAGATATCGTTCTCTTAGAGACTAAGGCCTGACAAGTTAAAAATAACAATTGTGTTTATGATTAAGTGAAAACATTTGAAAAGAATATTGTTTAAAAGAAACAATTGATTAAAAGTTAAAAGAATTATGATTTAAATGAAAACTAGATTGTAAACTTTGATTTCAAGATGGAAAGAACCTAGGGTTACTTCTCCCCCTTGTACTTCGAAAGACTTAATTAACTCCTCTTAATTAGTTTCTCAATGAACACATTTGTTTATCTAAAGTTAACAAATATGTGATTAAGCTTTTTCAAGTCAAAATTAAATTTTCTTTCTCATCAAAATGCTCAATCTCTTGAAACACTCAATGAAAATCCTTTTTAAAACCCAACCTTAATATGACAATGTTAGGTTAGTAACTTTATCTCTAAGTTACCAACAAACTATCTATTCAAACCACAAATCTTAAGTCTATCTCAACTTTGTCCAAGTTGTTTATCAAAATAAGCTTTCTCAGGTCAAATTTAGATAAACAAAACTTCCTAAATGGTGGCCAAACCTTCAGGAGCTTGAAGCACAAGATAAAACTAACATATATAACATTAATAGCTAAAAGAGAGGAGAAATCAAGTCTCAATCCATACAATAATTCGAAATAACCCTAGGGCAAGGAGTTTAGCTACTCATAATCCTAAAGAAACCAGAAATACAGCAAATACTTCGGTCCATATCAGATTACAAACGAAAGGAAGAAGAAAAAAGAAAGAAAACCAAGTTGGGAGTCCCAAATTTCTTCAAAACAAACCCTAGCTTCGATGTCTTCAAATTCCTCTTTTCCAAGCTTCTTTTTGCTGTTCAAACACTCTGAAAACCAAGAATGTTGGCCCTCTTTGCGTTTTTCCCTTTTATCCAACCCTATTTTCGCATCAGTAACCAAAACGCATGCAGCATTTTTTACTTGTACAGTATAGCAAACATGCACATTCACTATAACGAATGACACAAGAGAGCACAGAATTGCATAACTCTGGTTATAGCAGATGATATCCTTTGCTATAGTGAAGGACAAAATAGAGATCTTTCTCACTTTGCTTCTTCTACCTCTTTTCTAATTTGCTTCTAGCTTTCTTCCTTCCATCTTCTTGAAGCTTTTAACCACTACATTTGTACCTTCAATCACAATTTAAAAATAGTGAAATAGCAAATGATATCCTTTGCTACAGCGAAGGACAAAATAGAGATCTTTCTCACTTCGCTTCTTCTACTTCTTTCCCCAATTTGCTTCTAGTTTTCTTCCTTCCATCTTCTCAAGGCTTTTAACCACTACATTTGGACCTTCAATCACAATTTAAAAATAGTGAAATTCTCAATAATCTTTTACACATTTCTCCATGCATAATTTCTTTTGCAAAAGTTATTCCCAAAAAATAGGTGAAAATGTGCTGAAATGGCAAGAATTTCTAAGAGTTAACACTTATGTGTTTGGAAGCTTGAAAATGCACCCTAGTGGATGAAAATTCAAGCCCTAGCAGAGCCTTAAACATTTTTCCTTCGGTTTTTCCTTCTTTCCATACAATATGTCATTTTGCATATGACACATCCAAGTCTGACTGCATGTCTGCCCATGGATGTAACACATACAGCTATGTCTGCCCTCAGTTGCAAACAAATATACTACCTCCAGTTCTAATATAGAACCTAGATAACTAATTTCTGAATATTAAGAAAATTAGTTTAGTTATTTGTAATAAAAGAATGTTGTCTTTCCTAAAATACTCTATTAATCATGTGCCTTGAAACTACTCCTTGATGGAGACTTCTTAACATGTGCAATCGTCATAGGGATTACTTGAGGGCGAAATAGATAAAAATGGCAAACAAAGTGGATTGAGGTCTAATATTTAGAATCAAATTGACTCTCTAACTAGCTCTTATATTAAAGACCAGATGTGATATTTAATAAACTTTAAAAATTCATAATTTATTCTATGGTTCAATTTTTAGAAGTCTCATTCTAATTGAGTAATTTCACTTGGTCCTTCAATTAATCCACTAAACAAATTATCTCTGATTACTAAGGTACTTTACTTATTTGTGTTGTTACATTTTTTCCTTCGAATTACTTCAACTCTCACCTTAAGAGAGTCGCCTTAATTAATCCGTCGTTATCTCCTTCAATTACTTTAATAAAAGTGTTTGGGATGTTACGTAAAGCATTGGTTTAAGAATACCCACCTTAGCTCTTGTTATCATAGGATGAATAGAACATGTAGATTGGGGATTAAATGGTAGTTCTGGTGAGATAAAGGTTGTTTGTAATGAAGAGGAAAAACCATCAAATGTGATTGGAGGTGAAATATTATCTGGATGAGATTAAGGTGCACATACTAAGGGTAATTTTGATTACGGAAGGGCGGAGACATATCAGATATAGACCATGCAATAATTGGCATTATTGAGGAAGTGGCAGCAATTAATTGAACAGCACATTTGGAGAAAAATATTTTCTACCAAATGAAGCTAAGCACATGTAACCAGAATATAATTGGTGCAGTATCCTAGAAGTATACATTCAGAGTTCTATATAGGTGAGTTTATGTTTGTTATAAGATCTTAAAGAGAGATAGCATGAACAACCAAAGGTTTTGAGAATAGAATAATTTGGTTTGGCATGAAAGGGTTGGAAAAATGGAGTTTGATCAGCAGTAGTAGCAGAAGGAAAATAACTAGCGGGATAAATAAAGGTAACAAATATAAATAAATATTTTATGAATCTGCGTTTAAAATAGGGGAGATTGAGAATGTGAAGGTCTGCTCCTCCTTCGAAATTTCATCTTTTTTAGAAACTTCCAAATCCCAGCTTTCGAACCAAAATTAGTGTAATTAATTGGCTTGGCTTGGACCCCGCATCAAAAATATCAAAGAACAATGAATTGAAAATTTTGATCATGTCAAATATTGAGTTCTTATTTCTTTTCTAAGTTGGGTGAGTTGAGTTGGGCCATCCTAAAGCACTAGGACATGTTTTAGTTTTTTTTTTTTAACCCCTTCTCTCCTAGTATCTTTAGGTGAATACAACATAGGCATACTTTGTATTAACCTAGAGAAGCCAAGATGTTGAGACTTGGAGACAAGCTGAGCCTAAGGGTTCATTTAGAATAGCTTATAAATTACTTTTCAATCATGATTTACAGAATATAAGGTAAATATATGAAAGGAATTTTGTCTCAACCCACATAAAATGTGCTTTTGAGCACTTAAATAAGCATATCCAAATGAGTGTTAAAGGTCTAGTAGGCACAATACAACAATGATGGGCTGGAAATCCCAAATTCCAAATCCTCCATTATTTGTAGTGCCTTTCCATCTCCTCCCATTTCCTCCCACCCTGGAAACCAAATACAAGTACAATGAAAAAAATACAAACTAATAGTAGCTTTTAGATCCTATGCTTTCAAATTATACTCTAATACTAATCAGCCAATGAATTACCCAAGCCAAAGGAAAGAAACTAAATTAATTGGTTTACTGTTGATGTCTACATGAAACTGCCGTTACTGGGGAAATCATAATTTTATTTTTAATTTATACCTTTTTTCTTGCAGGATCAGCTATTTAGGGAGCAGCGTGAGCAACTGAAAAATGAGGTACCTCCCAGCTATTTCTCATACTAACGAGAGTACATTGCAACTGATGTGTTATATAAAAGTTATTTATGCATGCATGCTCTCTTTTCCGGAACTCATCAGGAGATAAAAAATAGATTCTGTATATCTAGTTGATATACATGCATGCTTGATATATTGCTTTTTAACAGAAATTAATAAATGTAAATAGAATACTAACCGCTTGTTTCCATCAAATTATCACATACTTTTTTGCCTCAGAGAAACGATGCAGTTTAAAATTATTGCATAGTTTTTTGGATTCAGGGTAAAGAGTTTTGTGCTGACTTGTGTGAAAGCATTTTTTTTAATTGCTTATGTGAGTTGCCAAACTCCCCCTATATCATCTTGTTTGAATTGAAATTCATTTCCCTTGCTTATATGAGTTGCCAAACTCCCCCTATATCATCTTGTTTGAATTGAAATTCATTCCCCGATTGGGGACTTCAAACTTCAAAGTATTACAATGTAGTAGTCAACATGAACTAATGGAAATCAGCAAGAGAGGATATTATCCTTTTTTCCCCCTCATGTCAAACCAGATTCAGTTGTTCTCGAGCAATTTCTGGAATAAAATTTACCCCAAATAAAGCTCGAAAACGTTACTGACCTTAATATAAACTATTTAAGGGGTTTTTTTGGATTAGCATTTGTGAAAATAATTAACTTTTATTCCAGCTGATTTTCAAAGTAAATCTTGAACATGAATTTCGTCCTATAAAATTAAAACCCTCTGGCTTCTGTCTTCAATTTATCTTCTACAGGTTGTAAAGTCTTTAAAAACATCTTCACACTGCCTATGACATGTTTGATGAACTGTTTTGCTTCATTCAACCATTATAGCTTACTTCCATAGCCAGTAATCCAACCTCCATAGTCAAAACCAGGTCCTAACAGATTTCTTCGGATTTTGTCTCCTCATCATGATTGAAAGCAACTATTACAAGGCCACCAATTCGTAGCTAACCCATTCTATATCCCCTTATCACAATGTTTTTTTATCTCCTGGTTTTTTTCCGTTTCTCTAAGATATTATCTGGGCGCTTTTTTTTTGTTTTTTTTAACTGCTTCTGACCTGGGATTTTGAGAGCTTTACTCGTGAGATTTCTTAGATATGCAGACCAACTGAAGCTAATGATTTTTTAACGTGTGAAGGATGATCTTCATAAGGTCTACTGATCAAGGTTTTATATATATAGGAGCTTAATTGAACTAGTGTTTTGAATTTGAACAACAATGAAAATATGCAAATTCTAATTTCAGTTACCTCTTAATATCTCTGAAAAAGGTCATCATTGTCAGATTGGATGAAAATGTCTTTTTTCCTCTCAAAAGCATCAAGTATGTCTTATAGTCAAGCGATATTGAAATTCATCTTACAACAGTTCCTGATGATAGTCAAGGTGTTGAAATTGAGAATTTGGCATCTGCACTGTACAAGCTATAAAACTGTTATTGCTTCATGTTCATTAATTGTCTTAAGTCATGTTACAAGGTGAAACTATATGTATTTTGGTATCAATTAGCCTTGTACATTTTTACTGAAAAGGGGGGAAAAAACTTGTCCATAGTTAATACTGGGAAATTTAAATGTTGGACCTAGTCCCTCTAAGACTAGTACTAGGAGGAATATTAAGAGTGAAAATTGAGAATGGATAAGTTAGAGGTGTTGGTAATTATGGGTTAAACTATTTGTCTTTAAACCTTAAAATTTACATCATGGTTATAGAGATTATAGTCATTATACCACCTTCGGTTCTTAATGTAAGAGCTAGCTGGGAATTAGGTTTGGTCTTAAATATAAGATTTTAATTCATTTTATCTACCAAATCCTTTAAGGTATCCCTATCGATTACACATATTAAGGGGTTTTATCCAAAGTGAGTCATGATTAAAAAGATACTTTAGAAAAAAAAAAAAAAAAGATACTTTAACTCATATTTATTACAAATAACTAGTTTAACTAATTTTTTTTAATATATCCAAATTAGTTGAGTAACTCTTATATTAAAGATAATAGGTAGTATTTCTTTTATACATAAGGTTAATAATAGATTTATCATCTGTCACAAATCAAGCAATCAACTTCTCGCATCAATAGAACATCCCATTTTTTCCTCTTTGTGCTGGTTCGTTTTCTGTTTCTCGATTAGGGACGAAATCTTAGCCCACAACACCAGACCCACATCATATTCCCCATTGTTACAAAAGATACTGTCCCAACTAATATTTGCGACAAAGTTTTTTCTCTTTCACCTTTTTGGGCCTCATCTATTAGGCTGCTTGTATCTGGGTTTACTGTTTTTGTTTTTGTTTTTTTGCAGTAGTTGACTATGATCATCATTCAAAATAGACCAGATCTGCGCTTGATTCTTAATAGGTTTCATTTTTTTTTTCTTTTTTATTCTTTTGCAATAGCAGAAAGGGTTATTTCCTTATAATATGATGAACTAATATTTGAATCCACGTTAGAAGAGATACCCACATTTAGTACTCAATAGTATTTCGAACAGGACTGTCTCTAATAAGAAGATACCTGTGCTTAGCAAAAGTAGAAAAATGAAAGGATTATTAGGCCTAGGAGAGTTAAAATTCTTCGAAGACCAATTTGAGAGTCGATCTTCATGTGAAGATCCTAAATAGGGTTTAAGTGTATAACTAATAGCTAACTCAAAACGGCAATTGTTTTTTCAGCGTAATTTCAAATGTTTCCTCAGCAAATAATGCCATTATGCAGAACATGAATTTCATTCATTTGTAATGAAGTTGGATTGTGGAGTGAGAGTCTCTTTGTAAAGTAAGGAATCAGTTTCAATGCTGATTAGTATTGTGAGATCTGCACGATTCAAATTAGTTTCAACAGCCTAAATTTAAAATATTCAACCATCGTTTTATATAATTTTTTTTTTCGCAAAACTGGCAGTTTAAGATATAATTTATATTCTAGATTTTGTATGCATTAAAATATTTTTTTAAAAAAATAAAAGTAAAAAGCTAATTTAATCATCCAAACTAGATTTGAACAGTGCATAGTGATGATGAGCTACTGGTGTTCATCTGTTTGCTTAGCACCAAAGCTCATTCCCAAAAATAAGTTATGGCAAGGAGCTTTGTATTGTCCCCACAATCTGTAATGGGACAGTCATTCCAACTTACAAAAGCCTAATAACTTTGTCCAGAATCTATAGGTTGTAAAATTTTCTTGTCCTACAATACTGTTGGTGCAGCTCGGAGAAAAGACATGGCAGCAATGGGCTAAACACAAAGAAGTAGCACAACAGAGTTCAAGTAAAAGCAGATTAAGCTCATTTGTGCAAACTGAATTACAGATTGGACTGCCAGAGACCTGAGTTGCTCACTACACTAATTACAATAGTGGTGGACCAAAATCAGTTTGCCAGAAGCTATGCTTCAAAATTCTTCTATCTAAATTCAAAATCCTATTAGTCCAATCAATGTAACTAGGCTTATCTTTTTCTCCTCCCGTGTACCTATGATGTACGAATGAATGAAAATACATGAAATGCAATCCTTACTTTTGCATATATATATATACATATAATATTGCGTGTGTTATGATCCAAGAAGAAACTAGTGTGCATTTGTTTTAATCTTTCAGTTCAAAAGGTGGTACTTGAAGAAACAACACTTGTTACAAGAACTTTCTTGGCAGTGTATGGCTCACTTTTAAAGATGCATTACTAGTCATCACTCATCAGATTCCGACTTCTTGAGTAGCTCTGAGAAAGTTTCGTACATACGACATCAAGGGAATACTTGAGGAATAGACGTCTTCTACAAAGTATTTTATTCTTATAAAACTACTGGGGGCAAAAGAAGAGATCTACAAAAACCGAAAGGTAAACGAGGATGTGATGCCGGTCATCCCTTCAGAGACATTATTGAGGAAGGTTAGGCTTACACAGATTGGTTTTTGTGAGACATTCCTTTAGGAAAAACTTGTTTTTGGCTGATTACTTAGCTCGGTCCTCTCATCATGTGTAGACAAATTTTTGTATCTACGATCTACTCCCACTTGTTAGACAAGAGGTGGCGGTTGACTGGGGAATATAGTTTCTTGTTGATTATATGATATACGGTTTTCTATTTTTTTTATAAAAAAAAAACTAGGAAGTTAAAAGTTAAACTACTTAACCAGGTCATTCTAGCAAATTTGTTCTTTCTGAAATTTTGGTGATAGATATTTTCTCCTTAATCTTGTTCATTCTTTTCAGCTCTAAATGTCATGATAAATAGTTGCTGCAACAGCAAACCGGAGAACATTTCTCTTGATTCTTACTATACCTGTACGCAAAAATATAAAAACCAATCCATCTATTATAATCGGTTGGTAAATCAAAGCAATCGTGCTGCTTTGCAAATAGTCCAAGAAGTTGCATTGACCAGCTGCCATGGAAGAGCAAATGTTCTCTTATTTCCTCTTCGTCTCACACAGTGGATTTACAGTCATCTGCCTGTGCTTGAAATTTTTGCAGTCCACCATAACAAGAGTGCTTAGGTATATTCAATTTCCCCCAAGTAATTCTTAGCCCCTATGTAAAAAGTTTATCCCTAAATAGTCATTTATGTCAATTACATTGCCCTCCTGAATTACTTTTCCTCCGTGAAAGCCTGATGGTGTTTTGTCCCTAAGCTTCACAAGCTTCGTCCAATGCCAACTTTTTTTTTTTTTTGACAACCTTCAGTTGCGGAAAGAATTCACACACCTATCATATCGATGGAAAGGTTGGACTCACAACATCACTTAGTCACACAAAGGGAGATGCTTAGTATCATTAGGTCAAAAGGGTCTGATTTGTCCAATGCCAACTTGTGTCTTGCTTGATTTGGTATGCCAGAAAATCAGCATTTTTCAAATTAACTTCATTTTCCACGTTACCCATAGTGTGTCTGCTTACCTGCCTAGAGATTTATTCGGCCACTTTAACTGAATTCCAGACTACGAAATTTTTAAAACCTAGCCCACCTTGACTTTCTTGTAGCAAATCTATGTTGATGATGTTATTTTAAGCATGCTGGAATCAAGCAATTAATTTCTCGTATCAATAGAATACTACGTTTTTCTATCTCTCTGTCTTGCTTCTTTTTCTCCGTCTTGGAGGTTCCATGACATTAGGTACAAATCTGAGCCCACACAACAGCCCCCTTCATTAAAGAACAGATATTGCCCCATGCGTTTTTCGGCACTTTGGAGTGGGTATTGCTCCATGTAGCAGGATTACGTTTTTTTTGTCTTCATTTATTGGGCATATGTTTGGGTTTGTTCGCTGGCCCATTTTTGTAGCCTGTGTTTTGCAATATTTTACCAATGATAGGCTTTCATTTTTAATTTATCTCCTTACACTTCAAAATTCATCAAATCTAATTCATTAGCTGTTGACTTTATTAACAAATCTAGCACTGAGACAGTTTGGTTGGAATCTAACAATGTTGCGTCATTGAAATTGTGCCATGTCACTAGATCCCTTGGCAAACTTACTGGACTGCTAGTGAAGGGGCTGGTTTGGATAACAAGGCTTTCAAGGACCAATTTAGAGTCAATATTCATGCAAACGTCCAAAACAGGGTTTTAGTGTATAACTTGTAGCAACCACAAAATGGCAACTTTTTCAGCATAATTTCAAATAGAGTTCACTGTGGACTGCAAGTCTCTTATTCAGCATAATGACTCGTGTTTCTTACTAACATCTATAAGAATGCCTTTGTCCAAATTTAGCTTGTCCGCAAGCCTCAAGAACCTAGCTGCTCTACGAGGACATAAGGTTGGCTTACCCTGTGATCATCAGGAAAACCTAAAAACAACCCGTGCCCCTTTTATCCTTTTCACAGTTTAAGCATGCAAAATACTGTGACTAGTCATTGATCACTCTTAATTTTCTTATCTTAATTATATGAACTTGTGTGCATGGGGGGAGTGGACACAGCACTTGGTTCTCATACAAGTTGGATGCACTACTTGCTTCTTTTTCATTCCTTCTGTTCCATGTATGGTGTTTTAGAATATCCTAAAACATAATACTCCTTCCGTTCTTAATATAAGACCTATTTAACTAATTTGATTATATTAAGAAAGTTACGTAAGTTAATTAATTATAAGAAATAAACATGTTATTCCTAAAATACCATAATCATCTTTATTAATATCCTCCCTTTCTTTCTTACTTGGTTATGGTTGAAAGATTACCAATAGGATTAATTTAGGAAAATTTGATAAATATGATAAATAGGTCTTATATTTAGAACCAAAATAAACTCAACAATTAATTCCTATATTAAGGAACGGAAGAGTATATAATTTGATAAGATGTATGTCTTTTGTTGTCTTGTCACTTCTATTAAGGTTCAAACTCATGATAACCACAAAGCTAAACCATATACCAAGTAGCTTTTATTGTCCCTATTACAATGGGACAGATACTCCAATTTACAAAAAGCCTGGCCAATCACTTTGCCCAGAATCTATAGGCTGTAAAATTTTCTTGTGCTACAACTATTGCTGCAGCAATGGCTAAACACAAAGAAATACCACAACAGAGTTCAAGTAAGAGCAGCCTAAGCTAAGGTGTAGAGACTGAATTCGTCTTTGTCCAAAAAAAAAAAGGAAAGAAAAGGAATTACAAATTGGACTGCCAGAGAAGCATTGATGATGTGAAATAGAGTGGATCTGGTCACTAATTAATTTATTGATGGACCAACATCAGTTTGTCTGTTTGTAAGAATTCTACTTGAAAATTCTACCTAAAATCAAATCCCTGTTAATCCAGTTAGAGTAACTAGACTTACATTTTTTTTTTAATGTGTGTGTGTGTGTGTATGATGTACGAATGAATGAAAAGACATGAAATGGAATCTTTAATCTCGCAGATACAGGGTTGTGTGTGTTATATGATCAAATAAGAAATAATTGTGATTCATAGAACAGTTCTTGAGAAAGTTTTATTCCTTATTTTCTTCCTTAGTTTTGCAAGCTTCCCTTGCTTGTTTTTCCAGAAAGCATGAAAACTATTTAAAATTTGCATCTGAGGCTTTCAATGAATAAATTCTGTGATACTGACCTGATATTAGTAAGCTAACTTTGATAATACAACCACCTGGGAAGAGCTATATAATTCAAACGCAATGAAAATGGGGTCAGTGACTCTCTCCCTCCCTCCCTCTCTTTTCCCTCTCTCTAAGGCCCCACTCTTCTGTGTCTCTCATTATTGATTTTATATTCTTTGGTAATTTGCATGACCAGACAGAGGATGGGGCCTCTGGCAATTTGTGTATTTTCATTCCCATACTCAATAATGACTGCTTTTAGTACCCTGAAATTGAAGCTTGAACTTTTACATGCCTAGACAATACTAACAAGCGTGAATATGCTCCATCAAAATCTGTATGTAATGAAAATATAGTGCATCTTTATGTTTAAAGGAGCAGGTTACTCCATCAAGTATCAGGTCCCTACCCGGCTTTTCTTTCATACTACACACATATCCATAAGAGACGCTCCCCTTACCTATCTTTTCCTCTCTTGTCTCCTTGTTTTCTGTACACATCTAGAACGCTACTTAGCTCTTTATGTATAGGTGTCATTTTTTCTCTTACCGTAGCCTAATAGCTAGTTACCCTTTATCTATTTTGGCTTCTTCTAAGGTTTTCATCATTTTGAAATGGAAGTTTTACAGGCCAAGGAACAGACCAAGCATGATAATTAAATAATTATAACGGTTAAAAAAAATACAAGAAGAAGAAGAAAATTCTGGGAATATATGCTAGCTCATCTGAAATCATATGGTAGGCACTCACGCGAACACTGATTCCAATACAGTATCATTTTGAGATTTTTAAACCCCCTAGCGAGCAGGACCACTTCAAAATTTGAAGCACTGCCCTCTCTCTCTCTCTCTCTCTCTGTGTGCCCCCTCCCTTCTCGCCACACACACACACACAAACACAAATTTGTGTGTGTCTCGTTAATCTCCAAATGCCTATAACATAGAAATTGGAGCTGAGAGGGTCAGAACTGAGGGAAAATATAAGAGGAATCTCACCAAGTTTTTCGTGAAAACTAAATCTTTACCTGAAGATGACCTCATGGGCTCTCATTCAACATCTTATAAACAATTGCTCATGCTTGGCTCAATCGACAATGTTAATTTGTAAAGGATAACAATGATCTTTAAAAATATGAAATCTCATATTTATTGGCCGATATGATAAAATTATTCTAATAATTCATTATGTGTTAGTTTCACTGTACCCTTTCCAATGATTTGAAAAAGGTAGAAAGGCACATTATGTCAGAGACAACTACAGAGATAAGGATGGGTGCATGTAGAGCCTC